AAACATGGAACTTCCAATACATCAGAAATATGAACATTTTAAGAAAATTCAACATAATGGCATGTAAAACACAATATTGTGGTTGCAAATAGGATTATTTTTATCTTCTCCCAGGAACTGAAACAGAGTTATGCAGTCCTGCGGGAATTTTGTTTCAATATAATCTACTTAGAGTGGAGTTCCTGCAAGTCAGTTTATATGAACTTCCAAACTGAACTGACCTGCAGGAGTCAGAGTTGCTAAATGAGTGTGCATGAGATTGGAGGAAGCTGCTAGGAAAGAAGGGGAGTGTGGGGTGGATGTAAGGTTAATGAGCAAAGAAAGTGGAACTCAAAAGGTGCAAGGATCAAAACTAGCAGAGAATGTCTGGAGATTATAGGATGGCTAGTCAGTGATTTATACAAAGAGGGTGAGGGCACAGCTGAAGGTGGACCTCCCCATGCCGTAGCATCAAGGGAAAGACTAGTACAAATGATAGCATGAGTACAACTCCCAATAAGTTTGATGAATGAGGCAAGCGCAGCAGTGGAATATAATTCAGAACCATTAATTTGGATTACTTGGTTGAATGAAATAATTCAGAGTTGGATATTGAATCAAATAATCAGGTTCCAGCTGCAATGTTACCATGATACAAATTTAGCAAACACAGGATTAAATACATTACAGGGCATGGTGACACACCTAGCAACAGATATATAAAAAAACACTGATGTGTCTGGTACTTCATTGGTTTTGATCAATGAAGCACAACCGTGAGAGCTGCTCTGGGAAAAACTTGCATCAACAAGAATTTGCAGCACAGAATTGCCATAAAACATGGAATGTTATGTAGAGCTTTGAGTGGGTGTTCCTAACCATTTCAGCCTATCTGTAACCTCCTAATATGGTAACACCGCACTTTTAAACTGCACTTTGTAAGCCAATGTAATGCCACCTTGACTCAGCTTCAATAAATCTTCCAAAGAGCTTTTAATGAAAGCCTGTGCTCTAAAGGACACCACAAAACTAATCAAACTATTTAAAACAGATTCCTACTTCTTGATCAGCAAGCTTTGGATGTTCTAAGACCATTCTAAAAAAAAGGCACCTAAGAATAGCAGTGACTCTCCTTCATTGCTTACTTGAACTCAAGCCTGGCAGTTGTTTTTCCACAAGGTGCACAAAAATTATGATAAATCCTAACTTCAAAATGCTCAATGTAAGAGAAACATTTTTTGTGGAGCAGGGTTGATTCCACGACTAAACCAAACAAACTCAAAGAACTACAGCTTTTAGATCAGGACTATTGGAGTCCTGTAGCTCAGTGGTTAGAGCACTCGCTTTGCAAGCGAGAGACCTGAGTTCACTTCCAGGCAGGGCGAAACCTTGGGCAAGTTTTCTTACTCCACACGCCTAATAATAATCCCTCCAAAACCCAAAACAATAATAAATTGGTCATTATCAATCTACGACTGTTTGTGGGACATTGCTGTGCGCAAGTGGCTGCCGCGTTCGCCCACAAATATACAGTCAATTCACTTTACAGTGTGTTCTGTGAAGCGCTTTGGGACGTCCTCCCGACGTGAAAGGCACTATATCAAATGCAAGGATTATTATTATTAAAATATATATATATACGTATATCAACTCACAAGTGATTTAGCCCAAGTGCTGCTTAGCACGAGTGCTGCATTTAACAGTTAATAAGATCACTAAAGAACCTGGATTTATTTACATATAAAAATGTAAAGAGATCACATGAATATTAATCCTATTAACAATCTCCACTCTCCAGACTGTAGAGAACACGCTTCAAATACGATATGAACTGAGTGACAGGAGGAAGAGTGCACAGCATTTGCAACAAGCCTTACGGACCAAATGTTCTGGCACCAGATGGCAATTAAGCCCATAACATTTGTACAATATTAATATGCGCAGGAGACAAGAATCCAGTCATTTAATGGGGACAGAAGTGAGCAGGAGCGTGAATAATCTTTTGTCAAGAATCCTTACGTATTGCAACATGCACGTGTCCAAATCCAAATCTGCGTGTGTTTTGACAACATTTAAAACATTTCAGTTATGGAAAACTAAATTTATTAACTTAATTACCATGCCTCCAGGTTGATATACCATGTAACAGAATTGTGGTTCCAATTAAATGGACATCAATTTGAACTAAAAGATTCAGTGTTCGTTACAACTCATTTCAAGAGTTGCCAAAAACTACTCAATTGGGAAAAAACATCTTTACAAAACAGAACAAGGCACAGAAATATTAAAAAGAATAAATGCGGTAATATCTCATTTCATAAACTGAACAAATCACGCAAGCAGTATGAGACCAACATCAATGAGGGTGTGCAAGTTAGTTAAATCCCTATATTATAGTTATGCCGCTAGTGATGCAAACATTTTTTTTTCTGAATATGCATCACAAATCAGCTGATAGTTCTTATAGCTAGCTTCTGTAAAGATACAATGCCACTTTGCTCCAAACTTATGTCCCGCCATATCAACACCAAACATGTATATACTCCTTTTGGGGTATGTACATGTTCAGCTTTAGCTCAGTACCCCTACTAAAGAGAACTTCACAAACGCTTGTACAAAGCTCAGATGTGTTGTTTCGTTCAGAACAGAACATCTGTAATGCAGCCAGGTTCTTCTGCTTTTGTTACATTCCCATAAAGTCCAGTTTAAAATAACTAAATAATATTTATAATAATGAACCTTACATTTGACATAGCACCTTTCACGTCAGGAGGATGTCTCAAAGCGTTTCACAGGATTTACTATAAAGTGGAGTGACCGTGTATTTTGAAGGTAAATATTTCAAGAGATTCTACAAGAGATGCTAAGTATCAGCGCTACTTTCAAAATATCATGATCACATGAAAGTTGAGTGATCATGTTTATGTATTTAAGTAATTAGAATACTACATAGGGAATTGAGAATATAACAATACCATACCTAAAGGGGAGCCTGATGAGACAAGTTAGAAGTAAATCTTCATGCAGATCACCGCTTTCCATAAATTATCTTCCGTAGACATTTTAAATGATTCTAATCCCAATTATTTTCAAATGGTAGTTATAAAGGTGGAAAGCACCTTCATAGTCTCCAAATTATCATCTCAAACATACTCTGAATAGCATGAAATTAGAAGTAGCTACAAGTAGAGTTCCCAGAAACTTGTTATTAGTTATTACTCAACTCCAGGCAGTTTCCTTCCTTTTCCCTGGTAATTATTTTAACACTTTACTATGATACTTGTTTCTTGCTTTAATTCAGTTTCCAGCTCTGCATCCGTTTGATAGTCAACTGTTAACTTAAGGATTCAATTCATAGTGATTATTAATTATTATTAATTAATTATTCATCTAATATGCAACTGGCTGCTGCGTTTTACCCACAAAATATAGTCAATTAACTTTACAGTATATTCCGTGAAGCGCTTTGAAATGTCTCGAAGACATAAGGCACTATATCAAATGCAAAGATTAATATTATTATTATTATTATTTAATCTGTACCATTTGTAGCAATATAAAACTACACATATACCTGTACCTGCAATAATGTACTACAGGAGAAAAGAAAAAAAGTACTATTTGTTTAGATATTTCAATTAAGATATTCAACAGGATTGTAAAAATACAGAAACATAATTGCCAAGAAACTACACCACAGTTGGTGGGAATGGAGCAAAAAAGGACAGCATAAATAACTTTTGTTCATCCAGCCTTCTATATCAATGTTCTTAAAAAGCTTACATTGATTTACCAATTTTCCTTACACAACTGAAAACCTTACATTTACTGACTTTTGTGATCTTAAGAAGAGACAAATTAAATCGCCTGAAAGAATGTTCACTTTGTTGTGAGTTGCAGGTTAACATTAGGCGATTCTTTTCCGCTCTCAGATGGTCTAAGAGATAGATTATCACAAAATATTTTAAATTTGGAATTATAACTTCTCCAAGATTAAAACAGTAACAAAAAAGCTAGACAATGAGTGTGACATTGTAACAAACAAGATTATGTCCTCATAACTACTAGTGGGTGAACATAGTGAAGCAAATAGACCAGACTCACAGATAACCTCTAGTCATGGTGAATAAAGAAAAGTGCAGGTCAATTCACTTACAGCAACGTTTACATTAAGTGTAAATATGCTCCTTGCAGTGGTTTGTTTCATTAATTTAAGTCCACTGAATTCTTAAAAATTCTTCATAGAATCCCTTTTTGCTCATCTAATGGCTCAGTTGACAAAGCTAGACTACGTTGTGTGAGGTGAGTCATATAGACCAGCAGTCGTAGGTTCATTCTCTAATTTGTGCTGGGTTTGTTGATCTCAGCTACAGCAGTAGTTAACATTATCCTCAAAGTCATCTGGGTGGGGGAGAAAATCAGCCAGAGAATGTGCTTCTGATTACTGCACACTGGAAAATGCACACGTGTGAATGTCAGATGACAACAATATTAGTATTACCTAAAGTACATTCGCAGGGTGAAACAGCTTGGTCACACTCAGTGTCTAGCTTTACCCGTGTAGAATGGTGTCCCAGTTGGGTGAGATACCGGGTGGCACCTGGTATCCTTGGACCAGCACGAGTCAGAGCAGTCAGGATAAAGTCTCGACTTTATCTATACATTTTTTCACTTAAAAGCATGTGACAAAGTGCAAAGATAAGTTCTAGCAAACCATTTTTTAGACATTTGAATTATTGGTAGCAGGAATGATCTTCATTAGACCAATGTAATATATTACATATGCAAGTATCTTCATATACCAGGCATAGCATCACCTTAATAGTTACCATATGATCAAATAAAATGACCTTTTGTTTGTTACTGTGTTTTTTCCCCATAAAATTAAAAGTAGTTTGGCCAAAACATTGCAATAACACATTGAGTAACAAAAGTCAGATTCCACTAATATCCCAAACTGTAATTTATGGTCAAGGAATCTGGGATGAAAAAATAAAAATAATGAGGCATATTACATTTTGTTTCCAGCAAACTGTATATTTATACTTTTAGCAAACAGCACATCAAATCAACGTTGTACTAACTTTATAAAACAAATGTACAAAAATTACTGTACAGTAAATCTCTTGTATTTATATATACACATCGATGCAAAGCTTTAATTTTTTTCCAAAGTCTTCACCATCTTATCTGTACCATATACACAATCTACGAGGTGTGCTGCAATGTTTTTATACATGCCCGTGAGAAAATGCAAACTCAATACATGTCCAGGAACAAGTGATAACAACCACCACAGCAAAACCAAAGTGCTTTCCAAAGAAAAGGGAAAGTTGGGGCTTGCATATGGAAGCTCTAGAAACATGAACATTTTTTTTGGATGAGAAGATAAATGCACCAAATTATCAATTAAACAATCAGTTTTTGGTCATCAACATAGGCTGACCTCAAATTTGCACACTGTATTACACATTCACATCTCAAAATACACAGCTGTTTTAATCTCCTGAACACAGTTTCAATATCAAAGGAAAAAAATAAAAAGTTTAATGTTTAGTGGAGTTTGGGACTTACAGGCCAGAATTGGATTTCAAATCTGGTCTGGGATTGACTCCTCACTTTGTAACACTGTGCACACATCTAATAATTTCTTCAGAACGTTTTATTCCATCAGACAGCAGATGCTCAGAAGTATATTTTGCCATACCGACAAGAGTCCAAACACGTTGGTATTTTCCTGACAAAAGTTCCCAATATTAAAGAAAAGAAACAGTAGGAGGAAGAATGTATACTTTGATGGAATTAAATTGTGTAAAAAATGAAACTTTTATAATGCAATTTTAAAAGTCCCAATTCAGGTTCTTATTGAGTCAGCCCTGGCTAGATACACTGCAGTGGAATTCCATTTGGTTTCTAAACAGCAAAAAGTAAAAATAAACCAAGCTCCACGGCAGCATTGTAGAAAACTCTGGAGCTAAACTAGGGGTGAAAGTATCATCAGAAGGGAATGGGCAGACAGACTGCTCTTTTCTACTTCCTACATTTCACTCCTGAAGAATTAAAAAAGAAACATTTACAGTAAGTACTTTCAGGTAAGCTTCAAAACCTTGCGTTTTTTTCATTTTCAGAATTCTGTAGGTGAATGAGAAATATTTATGGTGGCTGAAAATCTAGTACAAAAATCACATCTTCCATTTTCACAATGGCACCTTCTAGTCTCCATTAGGAAAACAGGACCCATTAAACTGGTACACGCACCAAAACATTTTGAAAAAGACAAAGCACAAGAGAAGGAACCCTGGTATTGTCAGCTGGATTGCAGTTCCTTCCAAACTTCACGAATATTCACCGATTACCACTAGACATACCACTCCCGACGGGAAATGACAGATCCATCTAGGTGTGAAACCAAGTCATCTTCATTTTCATCGTAGTAGTCATCATTCAGATACTGAGGTACAGTGGGAATTTTTCTATCTTCATAATAATCGACTGGCATTTCCATTCCTTCCATGTACCTGTTATTTATATTGTCTTCATTTCGCCACTCAATTTTGTGTACCTCTTTGGGATAATCTTGGAATAAGTTGTTTGGTTCGAGCTTCCGTTCGCTCTTTTCATAATCAGTGTACGGCTCAATTCGATTTGATGCCAATACATCCATCTGAGAGTCCTTCTGTATATCTATAGTTCCAGTGTACTGCTTTGTGTAGTAGTCCCCTCGGAAAGTACGTCGACGTCTCAGGAAAAACATTGCAATAATGATGACTGCAAGCACGAGAAACAGGGTGCCGCCAACCACACCTCCAATGATGGTTCCTAAGTGTTCACTTTTCATAGATGCCAAGGTCGACGGAGCTACTGGGAGTATTCGAGGTAAAACAGACACACTTGTGATACCACCTGTCGAGTAACTTGGTGGTGCAGTTGTTGACAGTGGGGTTGTAGTAGGAGGATCTAACGGGGATGGGGTAGGGATGGACAGAGACAGAAAAGCATAGATCAATGCATGCTAAACCAGTGAAAAGAATTTGTTGAGAAAGCTAAGCTAATGAACACAAACATCTAATATGGCACAATGACAAATTAATAGTTTCTCATCCTTAAACCCCTATTTAATTAGGTTTCTTTTTTAATAAAATGTTTCTAAATAAATGTGCAGAATATCACAGAGACCTCAATGTTTGACAATTGAGTTAATTTGTTTAATTTATCCCTTAAAATCAAGGTGAAACAATTGTTTGGATATTTATTCGTACATTTTTTCTCAACCAATTAATCTTTTCAGAGGTTGGTAAGACTTAGAAGCAATTTGTAACAAGTCTGTTGCTCTTGATACATTCATGTCACTTCTATGATTTTTTGAATAAACCTTTTCTCTAAACTGTTTATTTGTTTAGTCAGCTGGTTGGTATCTGACACATGCAGAAACCCGTCACAGTGATTAAGAGTATCCAAACTGGACATACGTATGCCATCTACACATAGCAATTTCTCTGCATCTGGAATAGAATGCAAACTCTCTCCCCGGAGGGACGCACCCCTGCTTACCTTATTCTGGAGAGTATTAGGCGCAGGCCGGCAAGAGCCAAAGCTTGAGGACCCCAGAGTGTGTGATGGGGTGTTGCTGGAGTTTAACCTGCTAAACCCACAAGTTTTGCGCTACTTGAACAACTAGGACCACCCAACCCATTGCAGGGTTAAGAGGAGCCGAACAGTAAGAATTCCTGCCCCAGTGCCTGATCTGCCCTCCAAGTCAGACCGACAAGCTAGGCTGGTTGTCCTGTTATTAGCAGTGTCTTGGGAGTATTGCAGGCCACCTGCTTTAGGAATCAAACTATCAAGACTACCACCGAGGGTTGACTCAATTCCAACATTCCAATGACCAGCAGGTCACCCTACAGCCAACCTAGCTTTAAGGAGATCAAGCTTACCTAGTCACTAGATGGGCAAGCACAATTTGAACACTTAATGGATGAAAATCTCTGATAACTGGAAACTGTTTACAGTAACTAAGGTGCAGCAGGAGCAATGCACAGTAGGCTGCACTCTCTAATGCAAGCTGACTTACCAAGACTGCAAAGAAATAGTCAAAGCTTCCATGTGGTTTGGAATTACTTTTTAAATGTACAGCATGTGCAGTGATATTTATTGCCAGATTCTTTTATTTTACTGGAATATCTGGAAAATGACTGTTGGATAACATGCTAAAAATCTGTTAATTGTGGGCTAGTTAGTTAGGTAAAGATTACTGAAGAATAGTAAAAGACAGTAATTTTAGTCTTCCTATGAAGAAGAGTAAGTTATTGGGAGAGCAGGAAAGAATACTGGTCTACAGAGGGGAGAGAGTGGGCCAAGTGACGAAGAGAAATTTGAATTGTATAGAAGAAGCAGTGGAGGAGTGAAAGGAGAACAACAATGCATAAAGGGATGTTTGTAGGCATAAGGGAAATGAGGGCAAAAGAGATTGATGGGTAACATCAAACCAAGTCATGGATATGCAGTTGTGAGATAACCAAAAACAGAGGGTCTCAGTAATGGTTATATAATTCTTGCATTTAAGATAGCACTTTTCATGTCTTCGAGACGTCTCAAAGCGGTTCACAAAATAGACTGTAAAGTGAATTGACTGTATATTTGTTGGCGAAACCCGGCAGCCAATTGCGCACAACAGTGTCCCACAGGATTCAGTGACCAAATTATTATTGTGTTTTTTTTTCTTGAGGGATTATTATCAGGCACGTGGAGCAAGGAAACTTGCCCAAGGTTTCGCCCTACAGGGAATCGAATCCAGGTCTCTCACGTGCGAGGCGCGTGCCTAACCACTGAGCTACAGGACTCCACGGGTTACTGGTGCATCCGGACAACAATAGTTAAAGGGAAGTTGAGATGACCTTATACTTACTAGCTTTGTCTCCAATTTTACTGAGCAACCATAATAATATATGCCATGTATTGTAGATGTTACACAGTTTTGGACTATTTTCAAAATATAGTAGTGCTGCAAGGAATCTGAACCCTTGCAGACACAGCCAGCTGACATGGCTGGGAAAAATATCCTGGACTACAAACCATGCTCCAAAATCTAAGAGATTTCCTACAACTCCTGACTTTGGTGCATAAAGCAATGTGTGAAGGATATAGAAGTAAAAATGTCAAATTGCAGACACAAAGTTCATTAGAATCTCAGTGCCCTGGAATGAATGCCAAGCTGAAAGAAATAGAATTTAAAGGGCAAAAGTCTTCATCACCAGAGATGGAATGACATAACGTCATTAGCAACACAAAAACGCATTGTTGTACAATTTATGTAATGGCACCGAGTATTTAGCCAAGGAAAAAGGATAGTGAATTATTCTGCGTTAAGACAGTGACCTTTTTAGGAAGAAATAAGAAAGGGTGACAAAATACTGCATGAATAGTACAGCGTTTGAACTAAAATGTGGCAGGAGTAGACAGCATTTATTATGCATGAAAAGTAATTACTTGTTTTAATACATCATTCAATTTGCATGCATACAATATTTTGATACAGTCATTTTGTTAGTTTTGAACCTCTAATCTAAATTAAATTTTAAAAAACTTCAATTAAAATTTTACATTTGTAATAGAAGGATGAGAATCCAATAACCGCAAAATAAGGGTAAATAAGCTAATAAATATTACAGGGTTTTAAAAACTAGCTCAACAAAACAAGACAATAGCATTTTATGGTAGTACACTTAATTGGGGTACAAGGCATTTTTTGTAAATACTGTGAGGTACAACATTCTTGATAATCTTTGCACCATACTCATGACTTTCTGTTTAATTACTCAGATATTTCTGAAGGCAAATGTATAGCAGAAAAAACATAGCAAATTGTTTCTGAAAATTATACAATAAGCTGTAACCTACATTGCGCCCATAAATATTCAGAACTCTGGCTTATTTCAGTTGCCAAGGGCATATTTTTTGTTGTACACTGTTAATTTAGAAAAGGTAAAAGCAGAAATTCTTTTCAACACATGTAAATGTGTTTGAAATTATTTGGGTCTAAGCAAAAGAGTCAAGAATCCTGTTGCAAGTACAGCATTTTTAACACATCAATTTGACTTGTTGACTACAAATGGCAGATAGCAGAAATTTAAGGGCATTCTATAATTTTTTTTAAGTTTGTCAAAGGTGGACAACTTGTTTATCCGGGGTTTATAATGCACTAAAAGAAACTTTCAAGATGACATTTCAAGTACAGAATTCAGACAAAATCTCCACCTCATTGATGTAGAAAGCACCATTTTCTTGTCTGACCAGACAAAAAACACTCCTTTGAAGATTAACAGCGGTGAGAACTATAGCATGCAAAGAGTAAAAGCAGGTTTATAAAACTGTGAGGCTAAATGAATTATTCAAGAGTGACTGAATTACTGCATTGCGATGTTGAGTTTTTCTCAAGAGATGAGGGCTGCAGCATTAACCTGTGCTGCTTGTACTTTGTGCATACATACATTTTTCTCTCTTTCCTTTCTTCTATTTCTCCTCCTTCTTTCCCCCAACCACCCCCACCTCAATCCAGGAAACATGTCCTCATTACTTTGTACATGGCACATTTGAAGAATTCACTAAAGAAGTTGTGAAAAGGGTTCTCCAACCATCAGGACTCTACAGTTCACTAATCTTCATTGATACAAAATAAAATGAACCCAGACTCTTCAGATTTGTAATCATAGTATTCAGTTGCCTTAAGTAGAAGATATTTGTTTAATTGCGAGACATTCACCTATTAAGGACTCAAGCAGTTTGAATTTATGGAGCAATGGTTCAAAACCAATTCAGATATCAAGATAATTTTCATCTAAAGCCATTTGACACTAAAGGGCACCTGGATGGTTTGCACAAATACAAGAAAGGGTTCTGCCCAACAAAAAACACAACGCCAACATCTCTGTAATGCTGCTATCAATGGTGCCTGTTGCAAGACTCTCCCATCCTATGCACTTTGTCAGTTTTATTGCCTAAAGTTTAAGGTATCATTGTTCCCTCCTATAATGCAGATGTATTAGAATGATCTTCACAAGGTCTAGACTAGAAAAGTCAAGTCCCTTTCTGGCACAAGACACCTGTTTAATTAGCTTAGCATTAAGCCAATACACTCTGATTGTAGTATCTAGTTTGACAGAGTCAGTTTGCTTGTATGCTTCACGAGAGAACCAGGATTCTTGCCCGTCAAAGGTAAATTCCCAAATAAACTGAATTTGAAAAGCAAAGGTTGAATTAACCAGGGATATGGAAGAGTGATTTACATATGAAGTTCAAGAAGCCCACACAAGTCAATGAAGGAGATATGTGACTTGTGCATGCCAGTTATGTCCTTGGCAAAAGAACATGGAAGGCACATCTCAGAACCAGCAATGAGAAAAGCAACCATCACCACTCAACAGGAGCTGATGACTGAAAGTAACAAAAAATATTCTAAAACCAACATTGCCCTTTACAAATTCCCCTACTATTAATCTGTGACAGTGGAGGATACTGCAATGAAGATATATAATTACTACATGACCGCGAGATACAATAAAAAATTAACACTTTGGATGTTATTCCCAACACGGTTCTCAATGAAATGCAATTTTCAGGACATGAATCTAAGCAATATAATTATAAGTAAAACAGATTGCAGAAACTACTTTAATAAAAAAATAAAGACCACAAGAGAGGTTCAGATTGAAAAAGGGCCCTTCAGCCTATTTTACCATCATTTCTGAATATCAACAACTATCTTCCAATTACAGTACCTCTATTTCTTAAATGAGACCTTAGCTTGAAGATAATGACTTCAAAACAAATCACATTGTGTTCCCAGATGGATTGTGTTCATCTAAGTCAATAAATTTGACATTTACAATAATGCTTAAAGCTGAGATGAACATATTGCTAGAAACCTTTGAAATATTCATCTGCTGTAAAAGCAAAGTTCACCTGATACATTTCAAATATGCAATACATATAAAAGTAATATTACATACACAACATCTACAGTAGAGTAAAACAAAAATTCTGACTAAAACATGGAATTAAGGACTACTCGTTCAATCCATAAAGGGCTGGAAGGTTAGTTGTGCAATTCTGGGCACTCTCAAGCACTTTCATGGTGTAATGAAACAGAAACAGGCCATTCATACTGCACACGAGTCCTACCCTTCTTGTACCCTCTATATTCCTTTATCCCTCACGTGCACATCACATTCTTTTTCTCTTTTGCCCAGAATGTGCACAGTCACTGTACTTTATAGTGTAACCTGTGAAGCGGTTTGAAAGAAATTCCACTAAACTCCTTATTAGACTTACTACTATTGTATATGGACGCCCTATTGTTTCAGACTCACCTATAAGTGGAAACAGCTCATCAACATCCAACTTATCAAAATCTTTTGTGATCTTATTCACCCCTAACAAGCTCTCTCTCAATCATCTCAACTCTGGAGAAAATATGCAATCTGTCCAATCTTTCTTGATACCTGTATCCACTCATTCCTGGGAACATCCTTGTAAATTTATGCTGTCCCCTCTAATTGTACAATACCTTTCCTGTGATATAACCAATTTTACTTATGTTAAGTTGGAGATATCAAACTTGCTCGAATACAGTTCCATTGTTTCCTGAAGCCCTCTGGCAACTATGAGCATAGATGAATGGGCTGAAATTCCAATCAACATTATGTGTAGCAGCTTTAGCAATGTAACTGCTAATGTGATTTCCCCTATTCTTCATGTGCATTGTCAAAAGCATTGTGCATACCAAGCCAGCATTTCAGCCCAAATGAACGTTAGCCGACTATTCAACAAGAAAAGCATTAAAGCTGGGCCTCACCCAATGCACATATTTAAGCCCATTTTCCAAGGAATTGCTGAATAATGGCACCATGACCGATTTTACATGACTAAATCCTGGGATGCAGCTGCTGCACCCAAATGCTGCTTGCTCAGAATATCAACTTAGCAGAGTCAAGAATCTGCAACCTTCTATCCTGAAATGGCTAAGTACCAAACTGGTCATAATGCCGAGATCAAGGAAAGGTTGCTGAGCCATTTGCAGCTATTTACATTCATCACTGGTTGCATAAGAATAAGAAACGCGTTAGCCAATTATGTTGAACCTCGTTCAAAAAAGGGACTGGTTAGTATTAACTATGCAATTTTATTCTGCTATATTTACGCTTGTTTAATCGGCTATACATACATATATAATAAAAAAACTTCCAAATCAAGGAAAGCAAATTCTAAACTATTTTTGTTTTTAAAAAAGCATCACCATTCACAAAAATGGCTATAAGGTCACCACTTTCTGCAGATGCATGGTGTGAATAGGCAGTACCTCCAAATGGGTTTCCTAAACAACTTTCTGCACGAGGGAAATGGCATCTGTGGTCACCTAACAACCAGGAACTCGGAAAGTTTTTCTACTCTAAAGATCTTTAAAAATCGGGAAAAATTTTTAAAGAGAAAATAAATATTATCCATCAAACTTTTTTAAAAAATCAGCATCCCTACTTGTTTTCTACTTAGCACAACAGAGAACTGTTGAGTGCACATTCCTTCCCACAACTTTTAAACATTTGTTCTTATTATGCTGAATCACTTGCTTTACACTAATTCGTCAGTTGGTTTGGTCCAAATTAACAGCATATCACACTTTGGTCAATCCTTGGAAGCTACATCAAATTTCTCACATGGTTTCTCATGACATTCACAGCATTCCTCCAGGTTGTGTTTCATCCCATTTAGTCTCTACCAAATTCAGTCGAAAACAATTCTGACTGGAAAAATGCTGAAAACTAATTTACCCAAATGCAGAAAAATCTTTGGTGCATTCAGAGTACTCTTTCATTCCTTGGTGAAAAAGTATTGGGAGGCAAATCAATGAATCAACAAAGAGCTGGAAATTGCAAAGGTAGGATGGTACATGATCATGTGTACTTGAAGGCCAGTGGACTCAGGCAAATATGGGTATTGGGATGGTGTGGAACTGGTACAGGAGAGAATATGGCTGCAAAGTTTTGGATGAATTGGAAGGTGGAGGTTGGAAGACAGACAAGGAAGAGCGTTGTGAATTTATTTGGATTCCTTAATCCAAATCTCCCAAGCACTGAATGCTCAGTTCATAAAATAGTTTAGGAAACCCATTTTCCCTCTGGCCTGGTAGCTGAGTAAGATTCTCTTACTTAACAAAGATAAACAAAGAAAATGGATTCATGGCAATGTGCATATCTTTTAACAGGAGACATCAAAAAATGATTGGTTACCGACAATAGGACAGACATAGTAAATGTAAGGTCTACAATTGACCTTATGTAAAATAAACAGGGGAAAAACATCTAACCACATACATGTCATGTCTTACAAGGATTTATTCCGAGGTGATTTTCCTTTATAATAATTCTATTGATTTCAACTAAGAGATATTAAATATATATGGATGCACATACAGATTACTGTCCATTTGCAAACCTGAATCTCAAATTATGACATTAAGGCTGAAGTATTATTATATAAAAAGCAAATGAGCTATAAAAAGCAAGTGAACTAGTAAAACCCAGCAACTGCATTTTATAATTGTGTTAACTAACTAACTTGATTTCTAAAGTACTGTATATTTAATGTTCTAAGTGCAATTATCATAGTTATACCTTTCCTTCTTTAATAATAATAATACTTAAGATACAATATAATTGTTGAACCAAATATCCGATTCAGATTTCAATGTTGAATGAATGTTGGACATTGAGAAATAGATGCTTGCTTTTGAAATTGTAAAAAAAAGTTTTCAAGTATATTATAAAAATACAAATCCTGAGAATATCAAATAATCAATTTAGTGTTGGATTAGTTAAGCCACAAAAATATTAAAAGGTAGATTTTCTTAGTTATTGTAACTGAAAAACGTGGAAAGAAAGTACATACCTCTTATCTGGACAACTTTTTGTCTTTTTCTAAGTCCATGGACATTCACTACCTCACAGACATAAATGCCAGAATCATTATGTGTGAGTGGTCGACTGAAAGTCAGAGTGTCATTTTCAATCAGCAAGTCCTCTGGTAACTGATGGTCCAACCTAGATGTTACAAAAGATATATTTATAAAACAATAATGTTGTGAAACCTTTAATAAAGGATCCCAGAAAACAACTACTTACAAAAACAATTACGGCTTCATTTGTCAGCCGTACCTTTTGACCCCATACAACCCATGTTTTAATAAGCAAGTGCTTTTTAAATTCCTAGCAACAGCACAAACCATTCATTCAATGGTCTGCTTCCTTATTTTCCTCTGATGACAGCATCGCATCCCAATGATAAATCCAGACCCAAAAAGGACCACTTTTTCCCCCTTCCCCCATCTCCCCTTTCAACTCCCACCCTTTCTAATTGAAGGGAACGTCAGTTGCCATATTATTATATCTCAGCACAGTAACTTCAGTTGATGATCCTGCAACAGGGAACAGTCCTCAACTGAAAAAGGCAGGTAGGTAAACCTTGTGTCTAAAAAACTCTTCATGTTGAAGCATCTCATCCCAACCCACTCTGAGACCTTAAGATAATTAATTTGTCCTGCTGCTTTCCCACCAGTCATTGGCGCTTCTAATGTGATGGTGAGAGTAGAACTAGTTTACAGAACTTTAAAATGTATTTTACATCCATAGAAGTCTTTAAACTTCTACACGTGTCAATATATTTATATATACTATATTATATACTACACTATATCACTACAGCATGAGCAAATACCCAAAGTTCAACTCTAGGACCATTGTTATTAATAAAATATGCTCCCTAACATACAGCAAACATTGAGCTCCAGGATGTACATAAGTGAAATTGAGGTTCTAGATAGGTTTCAGGGGCTGAAAAACCCTTCAGGGTACTTAAGAGATTCAAGGCAGGAGATTTGTGTAGCAGGGATAGACATCTCCTTGATGTGAAAGGCTTTATGCCAAATGTAAGTTGTATTATGGCTCATAAGGCATCTTCCATTTTAATAATTTTTGTGCAGTTTATTACAACTGTTTGCTGCCACACTTTAGAATACCTGGTCAGCCAACTATTTCACACACGCAGCTTAAAAGTATCCAAAACAAACCACTGGGAATTCCACATTTGTCTGGAATGGAATATGCATTCTATCCCCGAATGGACGCAACCTGCTCAGAATACCTTCAAACCCATTGGGAACTAAATAGGATTGTGCAGCAATTGAGAGTTACATACCTACTCCATATGTAAGTATGAGGTGATGGATTTGCATCAGCTTTACATCTGAGCTGCACATTCACTCGACCCACAAACCAGTTGCCATCATATCCCATCACGGTAACCTCAGGTGCATCTAAAACAAACCAACACCGACAATCAGTTATTATATCCTATTGTTAGCTATTCACTGAAATGATAGATATAATCACTAAAATAATTATCTTGACTCAGGTCTCCAATATTATTATTATTTGAAAAGACTCATAAGCTGATCTCAGTGAGGAAATGCCATAACTGGACTCTGCACCTCTGTTTAGAGGAATAAAATCAACCAGGGTTCACCCTCCAGCATCACTATGCAGTGACCCCTGCTCGATTGGTATGTGGGTTGACGTCAGGTAAAGGCTGATTTGGGCTCAGATACCATGCCCCCTACAATGGAATAATATAGTCCACATCAATGCTCACACGTAAATAACTGCCTTAATATTCGCATCTTCATCTAGGAGTATCCATTTGCTGCAAACTGAATGGTATTTATTGAATGAACCTTCAGAAACTACTACAGTTGCATTTGGTCGTTTTGCACAAACAGTATTTAACTATGTATAGGCCAATTCAATTGGAAAATATATGAAGTGTTATGTGAAGTGTTTTTCAATTTCTTTTAGGGGGATTGGATTTCAACTCTATATAGGTTTTTTTTCCCGCCCCAAAAATAGGAATTATCTGAGCTATCGTGGCATTTTCTCATTTCTGTAACAATACATCTATCGAGCATCAGGGTTCTAACCAGTACGTTTCTGCTAGTGTATTATTTATTTAACTTTAACCCAAGTAATTTTAATTTACAAATCAGTTGATGGAACAGGCCATGTGTCAGACTGAAGCTCTACTTTACCAATATAATCTACAAAACAGATAATGCATGAATCTTATTTAATGATTCAGAAACCAGATAGGTTCTTCAAACTTAAAAGATTCAATAATTACAATGCTTTCAGGATGAGAATTTGACACTATTTTTCATCTCTAGGTGAGTTTTGTGGCTTAAATGTGATGAACTGTTGCACTTAAAGAACAGCATAATGCATCTCTTTTGTCATCATCTGTATAGGATGTCGTCAGATATGTGCAAGAACAATACATAATGAGTGCAACTTTTTGTAAAAGGTTTATTTCTAAATCAAGGAGGAAATGATTAAAGAACCTGACATTGGTATGATCCATCATATTTCTATAAGATTTATACATGACAAACTTGTGATGTGAATACATTTACAAAACAACACACCTTGGCTACTTTCCTAATCAAACATTTCTTTAAATGAACCAAAAGTGTTTGCTCACAGCATGAGGTTCACTTGGTCATTGAAGTCTGCTTCTTGTGTTAAGAATAGATAATGTTAAGAGTTCAATTTGAGAGTCATTTTTCCAAAAATAACTTGGCTTTATCACAACTGTAAATTTTTCCATAATGAGTCTTTGCAGTACTGAGGTCAAAATCTCTTCTTACTGCTGGAGGTTTTTCCTTTTTGGATGCTCAATTGGAGCATTTTATGACAATACCAAAATACTTTTATCTGTCGAAATTTGAAATGGGAGATCTCAATCATTTCTCAAAACTGGGGAAGGGGGGGAAAACAAAGCCTGTTCTTTGACTAATTTGATTCTACCCTTCCAGAATGTTAATGCTACCGTCTTCCCTTCTTAGCAAACAATGGTCCAAAAGAGACTGCAAAACAGAAATTAACATGGTCATTAAGGAAACCAGGTACACCCAGCTTAACCCATAGTACTTTAATCTGGTGGACTTTTCATAAATTTACATTCTTTGCAAGTACTTTTTAAAAAAAGTTTTTAACTAATTAAGGTGCTTTCAGTAACTGCAAAATCAGCCACAATATTTTTCTTAGTTTGTCTTTTCCAAAGATAAGAGTAGTTTAAGCTTGCCAACCAAATACTATCGTTTTGCACCATGCAGTTTCTGTAGTTAATATCGTGGCAAGTACAAAGTAAACTGCAAAAATTGACTTGGACACAAATATGCAGACTAAAAGTTTCTAATGTAGATATGTCAAGTTTAGAGAAATGTTGTGTAATACCAAGAGATACTGCATATTGAAGTTCAACACATGGCTAAATACATTGAATGAAGTAAGGGATTCAGTATCAAGAACCAAAAGATTAATGTTCCAGAAGTTATTTTAGCTTTTGAAGTTTAATTAACACTAAGCCCTATTATTAAAAAAATGTCAACATGCCCCATTCCCCAGGACATTATTCTGTTTTTGTAAGAATGTAGTTGGGTTTGAGTTTGTCACTCCAGCATTCAAAGTTGTTAATTTACTTTTTCTTGCATAAAAGATCACCTTCAGGAGCAATAATCATCTATATGGAAGATCTTTCTTTTCTCCTTGGATTACTTTATGAATGTTAAGAAGCCAAAACATCAGTCAAATCTGCACAATTATACATATCCTGGTTCCCAAGGAAGCCTTGGTTTTAAATTACAAGTTAGAAAGATGTAAAACTGACAAGCAAGATTTCACAATAATTTTACCTACTCTCCCAATTGAGCATGGACCACCAAACAAAAACACCACGCTGAAATAGTCAATATATAGGAAGTTTTAAACATTTTTAGATATGGATTAGTGCAACTAGTTTACTAATCAAAGTTAGCACCCAAATCAAAGCCAATTGCATTCTCAAATGCATGTAAAATGAGGGACTTACATTGAACGTCCAAGATGTGCTGTATTCGAGCAGAACTGTTCAATGTTGGATGCTTTATGACACATGTTATTGGTCTCTTTCTCACAAATCGTGATGGAATGATCTTGAACTTATTAATAACGGTAACAGTTTTGTTTGCAGCAGTGATCTTCGTCTGCTCCTGTTCTCCAATGAGATTAGTTTCCCAAGAAACCACCGCTTCAGGCTTTCCATTGGCTGCTGTGCACACTGCTGCAACTGTCTCATTAGCACCATCCACCAGTGGGTCAGGGCCCCCCGTCACAGTTATTGTTGGCTCAACTATGAAAAGTGACAAGAGAAATTAGTTCATAGCTAAATGCAAACCATAAATTGTTGCTTCATTAGATTTTTGCAGACAACAAACACGGTAAACGCTAATCTAATGATACAATACTTGCATGATGATTCATACTTCAATAATGGAGTTTATTTTTACAGAAGAGACAAACCAACATTGATTCATTCACACACTAGGTTCAGTTCATAGGATATTTTCCAAATGTGTGTCAAGTCTGCTTTTAAAACTTTATGCTCTTGGATGACAAAGTGCTATTGGGCATTGCACGTCATTAATTATGGCTCAACAGTAGAGCACTGAGAGGTGCACTAATCTGCATGGTAGGTGCGGGGGACAGGGGTCAGAGAGGCAGTGTCTGTTAATCAGATCTGGAAAGATGGATTTAGGAAGCACATTATGAAGCTAGTTTCACAGAGTGGTTTGATATTGTGTGTTTTGGTAAAGCCACAAGTGCGCCTTTTTGTGTCAGAGAGGAGCAGAATTTCTGGTATGACCGAGCCAATATTGTGCACCATGAGGTAGACAATGATGTGCCTGGATACTTTTCCCATTCATCTATTCAGATCAACAAACCTAGACCTTGATCCCAGAAGATTCAGTTTTTCAGTGTTATGATGATAACCATGGTGCACAGGATGGGATATGTCTGTGTGAGATGCGTTCTAGCCTGAGCAATCAAAAATCCAGGCTGGCATTTGGTGCAGAATATTAATAAATTTTGGAATTTAATGCCCAATGTCGAAGCTGTATCATGGAATTTATAAGGCAGCTGTTCATATGATTGATAGTCTCAAGCTGAGAGAAGAGTTAGCCAGAGGGAATGGTGATTTCCAATGGAGGGAAAAGCCATTTACTATAGTGAAAGACATATGTTTCCTGGAGTGGAATGTCACTGCGGACAAGAAGAATGTAATAGTTTGTTTCAGAACAAGCTACAACTACAAAAGAGTGGGACAACTGAGAAAACGGCAGCCATGTGCACAATTTTGTCATTTCTCTTTCTTCTAACCCCTCCACTCATGGGATGATGATTACATACTGTTTGCAAATGGAGCAGGAATAAACAAGACAAATCGAGCAATCAAAAGGAGACAAGAATTCATGACTAAAACATAAGTGATGTTGCAAAATTGATCTGAATATTTCTAGGAACCATTTGTTGAAGCTGATTTAATCCCATTCTTTGATGCTGAAAGAAAAGCACCTTTACTGAATTCTGAGCGCAAGATGATGGGTAAGAGGGGAAAAGTCAGAAAGCATTCTGCTCAGTCAAAAATAACAGTGTTACTTACCCAATAATCCTTGCCAAAAATAAAATTCTACATCGCACTTGTTTTTGTAAACATGGAAGTTTTTTTAAAAAAAACACACTCGTCTCTGCAGGGGTTGATACAATCAATACCAGAAAGGAAATAGTCCTTTACGCTACAAAGAATTCAGCAATAAAAGGCATTTCAGACCAATTCATTTAGACTTCCTATTGTTTGGAGAACATATGTTTATCTTGAAACGTGTCAAGAATGTCAGGAATTGTTTACCTAAGACCAAGGAGATTGTTTTGTGTACGAACGTTGAATATTGATTACAACAAAGGAGATTGTTGTGCATTCAATATCATATTGTTCATCCCTCATAATGCCAAGAGATCAAACTTGATCAGTAAAATTACTCTCTCTTTTGTCAATCACATGTAAATTTGTACCGTAGGAAATAATAATAATAATCCTTGCATTTGATATAGCGCTTTTCATGTCTTCTAGACGTCTCAAAGCACTTCACAAAATATACTGCAAAGTGAATTGACTGTATATTTTGTGGGCGAAACACGGCAGCCAATTGCGCACAGCAGTAACCCACAAACAATTGTGAATTGAATGAGCAAATTATTAGATAAACACAAATAGACAAAGCAAACTGTGAGCTGTAGATATAGATGACCCATTTTCAGGTACATGAATGAGAATGGTTAAACATTGGTTGTTGATTTCTGCTTTAGATTAAGCAGGCTCTGTGATTCATGACCAAAAGTATTGTTGCATTGCTTTCAGGGAGTGGAAGGAAGAACTCAAGAAAATTCCCAAAAGAAAATATACAGGAGCTTGTTTATTTAAAAAGAGCGAGTCTGGGTAACATGCTGAAGACTAACTTTGCAGTTTAAAAGTATTCATTTGTGTTTATCTTTTGTAACTAGGCCCATGTTCTAAAGCAAAGATAAAAATGTATTTAGTGCCAATGATAACAATCCTTCTGCCTCACCCCATCTTCATCTTTAAATCCCATCTGAAGACCTACCTCTTTGGCCATGTTTATGCTCACCTCCCCCTTCACTATGTTTGGTGTTCAACTGCATTACTATACAGCACTTCGAGACACTATTCTTCATGAAGGGCGTTTTATAAATGCAACTTGTTGTAGTTCAAAATTAAAATACTGAATAAAATGCAACTTTACACATCGTAAAATAAATCAACCTTGTGTACCAATGGCAGAAAGAATGGAAGAAAATAAATGTAACACATTTGTTTAGCTGTGGCTCTTCTAAGGATCGGGTTGCTTAGCAATTGTTGAAAAAAATAACTTATCATTGGCATTATTCTGTACAGACAAAGTTCCTTGTATTTTAAGGTCCAATTGAAACATGAGCTACCTTTAATATCTTTATACTGGGTCTAATTAATCACTAACCTATTGCAATTACTACTTTTATTAAGCACTAAATCTTAGTCCTTCGTGATTTACCTACTGTAACCACTCAGATGGTTTGAACCCAATATACCAACGCAGCAATTGTGCTGTCGTGGAAAGAAGACAATTTTACACTTGGCTCACATTTCTGAGATGCCACATTAGTCTTTACTGATAGGTAGTCAGTGATAAGATAAGTCAGTGATATCACACATCTCCTCACATCTCCTAACTGTACAATCTTTTAAAAGATGAAGCATACATACCAATCACAGTCACAGTGGTAGTTCCTTGGTAATTTCCCAAGGGAAAAGTAGCCACCTTGCAGACATAGCTTCCAGAATCGGAAAATCCAACATCAGTGATTAAAATAGTAGCATCCATTAAAGATGGGTTTGTGAAATGAACTCTTCTAATATAACTCCCTATGATTGAGATTCCATATTCGGGATTAAACACTGCAACAGTTTCTGTGCTTCCACTTTCTTCCTTCTCCCAGGTCATCTGAGTTACAGTTTCTTTCACAGTAACCAAACACTGCAAGGTTACATTTTTGCCCAAGACTGCAGACACTTTTTGTTTAACAACTGGTTCAGTCAATGCACCTGGAACATGAAAAAGAAAAAAAATAATCAAACATAACAATAGAATTTTTGACAAGCAAAGTCCTCAATTAAGAAAGGTCTAACAACCCCTCAGAAAATACACCATATGGCAAAATACTATGCCATAAAGATCAGAGGGTATCCGATCTGATCCCTGGCTATGGTCAGTTAGCTCATCTTAACCAGGACATTGCTGATACCATGGAAGACACAACTTTGAGGTCCGACAGAATTTTCATGCATATTTTTTTCAGTACAGTTAATGTTTTGTAGAAAGATGCAATACATTGCATCGTGACCAACTTTGGGAACAGTTATAACTTCAAAGAATTATCAGATCAAACTATGAAAACAGAAGTGTGGTAAACTTAGTCTGCCATTTGTGAGAGCAGAACAAGGTTTAAAATTAAAAAGCTTCAAACAGGACTAAAGATTAGAAGAAATCCTCTAATGACAGTTGCTGCTATGTGAATAACTCCTTCAAGAACTGAACCTGAACAGTACTGAAGGATATTGGGATGGGAGAGAGATTGATAAACCACAAGACAGAATGGTTTATATGCTTCTGGGGTAAAGGGAAGGAATGTTTGAAAGGAAAAGAATGAGGCCAGGCCTGAATCTTAAACTGAACGGAAGGAGTTTTAGATCAATATTTAAGCATAGCTTCACCCAGGAGATAATAGTGGGCTGAGGGAAGTCCATAATGTTAGTGGGATTTTCAGTAGGGTGTGTGTAAAAAAAAACAGGCTTGACTGACTTTTCTAGTTTTTATGTCCCTTTTTGATTATCAGACAAGTTTTCTCCTCCCTCCATGTGAAACACCTCCATCCTTTGCCTGAACCACTCATGTTGTGCAATTCAGCAGGAAACTAATTCTCCTAGTGCACGATAGCTGCAGTATTTAACTTATTTTATTTTTTCAATATTATTTTGAATGTCTTTCTGCACCCCAGCTCACACACCCTGTATCATGTTCTTCACTCAGTGGAGAAAGTAAGACGTTTTGAAACCACACCATCCATCATGGAGTCTTGTAGCTCAGTGGCTAGAGCCCTCACTTTGCAAGTGAGAGACCTGGGTTTGATTCCTGGCAGAGTGAAGCCTTGGGCAAGTTTCCTTATTCCACACACCTGATAATAATCCCTCAAAAAAAATAATAAATTGGTCACTTCAATCCATTACTGCTTGTGGGTCAATGCTGTGAGCAATTGGCTGCCGCATTTCGCCCACAAAATATGCAGTCAATTCACTTTACAGTATATTCTGTGAAGCGCTTTGAAACGTCTGGAAGACGTGAAAAACGCTATATCAAATGCAAGGATTATTATTATTATGTAGTTTGGGCTGGGACTGCAGATCAATAGAGGACCAAGGGTAGACGAGAGGGAACTTTCCCTGAAAGTATGAACTTAAATCTATGTAGTAACCCTCAAAGCAAGTGTGTGTTAAATTCCTCTGAAACTGGTTTACATAGGTTTCAGACAAGCTTAGGCAAACCAATGTTCAAATCCAGGATAAGTTGTTTTACTAGTCAGTTTATTTGTTCAGTCACCTTCCATGAATCTGATTACCACTGCAAGTACCCTACCTACATTTTAATACAATGATCAAATTGCAAGAGCCTTCACAAGAATCCTAAATAAGACCAGTAATAAATTGGATTCACCAAATACTTCAGCAAAGCTTGAATGTCCTACCCAGGAGAGTTGCAGTTATTATCCTGACACATGAACCAATCATTTATGATAAACATTATAAACTTAAATGTGAGCCTTTGTAAATATAAATTTGCATACACAAAATCCTGTGTGTACAGGTAGGCCTTCTCAAGAGCACAAATGTGCCATATCCACCTTCTAATCTGCAACAGGTCTTACTAGTACAGGACCCATTCTCTATATAGAATTTCAGTAGAGACCAAAGCCCACTTTTCAGATTTCTCAAAAACTGAAACACACACACACACCCCACACGAAAGAAACATAAGGAAAAGGGAAGAGGACAAACAGCAAGTAAAGGAGAAAAAAATCATTCACAAAGACATTTGTTTACAAATTATACTTATATTCCAGCATTTGTTTCCTATTACCCAACTTTCTTTACCAGTCCTGGGGCTGTCTACTTCAGTTGATGATAAAGTCCATATTGTTCTGAGGAGTCTCCTTTGCTAGTAAGGCACGATCAACATTGTTGTTCGTATTTATGCCTGGATCGCATGATCTGGACAGTGATTGTAGCTGACAAAAGTTCTGTTGTTTAGTAAGAAACGTTCATAAAATCAAAAAAATGTGCTCACAGTTCTGTACCATCATTACAGTTAGTTTAAAGCAGCTGGTGTGAAGCCCAAAAGATATTTATTTTTGCATGCTAGAGCAGAAAATTGAAGTGCATTGCCTAGCTCGATGCTAGCTTGACAAGGTAGTCGAGCCAGGCACTCCAACCATTTATGAGTCATTGCTAAATATGCCAGTCTTGGATGACTTTACTGGATTTAATTTGGAGTTCTCCAGAGGTAGCAGAAGTATGGTTGAGTGGACCACAAAATACCTGATCTGTGGTTATTGCCTCAAGGGGGGGAAAAAATCATGTTGCAAGTTCACATAATACATTCCCTGCAATTATTATACTCTACCACTAAAATCAACCTGCAATACACCCTTGCATTCTGCTAGCCATTATCATTAAAAAAAATTACCATCACCACTTAAGAAGTTCACGGCATGATTCCCGCTAATATATTTCTCTACTTTCAACAATGTAGATGACGCATCATATTTAGTAAGACCTTATTCTCCTTATGTCTAAGATCATTAAATGACTTCATGAAAATAAGTTTAGTTGAGTTTAAATAAAAATAGCATATTCATATTACTGAAGCCACAATGTGACATCGCATTTGGTTAGGAATTCTACAAATGTTGCTTCAATGTAGAAATGTCCATTAGTGATACAGTAGCTGCACTTATGAGTGTATCTGAAACAGTAATTACCTTTCAAAGCAATTTCTACTCCACCTAAAGAGAAAGCTCAGCTATTATGAGAAACTTTTTTAAAAAATGCAATTTAAAACCTTTAAATCTTATAAAACAATCTGGCACATGTGCCACATTTTTAAAATATTAGCATTTTAGAATGCAATTGAACAGATGAACTCTTCAATATTTAACTGAGAAATGACAGTGCAAAAAGGTTTTAAGTAATCAGTTATCAAAGCAGAGTGCAAATAAAGCAGTTCATGGTGAGGTGAGGCTGCTTTGCTATTGTAGATAACAGTGAATCATAACAGAAAGCTAGATAGCCTAACTGAAGATTACAAGACAAAGAAGACGAAGCATTAACATCATTTATCCAGCCTACAAGTCATATTGTTTTTGTGTATGTCCTGCGCCTCAGGACGTTCTCCCAACGTGAAAAGTGGTTTGTGAATGTAAACCTGCTGCTGCTATTTGCTGTTTTTATTACACACTCGTCGGCAATGATAGTTAAGAGGCCAAACCAGTTGAGTGTTCATAATTTATATTAAATAAAAGTACAAATAGCAAGATTATTTTGCTCACAAAATATACAGTGAATCCACTTTGCAATATATTCTATGAAGCGCTTTGAGATGTTTCGAAGAAGTAATAAGGCGCTGTATCAAATGCAAGGATTATTATTATAATAAGATAGAAAATGTAAAGGATTTAAAAATCATCTTCTCTGTACTTTTAAACCTATGATAGAACCACTGATTAAGTAAGTGACCGATATTTGAATGCTGAGTGTGGATCTTGGCATAAGCAAGGTGGAAAATATTAGAAATGTAGGATTAAATGCAGAAAAAATTATTGATAGCGTATTTCATATGAGGTGTATTCCAATCTTCTGCAATGGGAAAGAAGTGGAGTACAACTAAAACAAAATAATGTTCAGAACACAACTAGTTTAGTATCAAAAAAGTCAAATATTTACACACATTCAAACAAGTATTATTGTTTCATGTTAGCTCATGAAACAATCCATTTATACAACTGGCTGATTTTGTGAACCAGCAGATAGTGGTGAAAAACGTTTACCGATAAATTAGTTTGAAACCTCGTACAAAGTTTCTTTTATAAAACAAAGATTGTAGCTTCTCTGTAGCTTTATATCAAATATTACAAATAAACCTGCTCTGTGAATAGGTCATGTTTGCATGTCATTGTGCACTCAGTTTTCACTTCACCTACCAGTAATAGAACAACAACTTGCATTTATATAGCGTCCTTAACGCAGGGTCGTTTCCCAGAGTGCTTGACAGTGGCAGTCTGACCCTGAGCCGGGGGAGAGGGAGGGGGCAGGTGACTGTAAGCACGATCAAAAAGGAAGGTCTTTACGCAGAATTTGAAAGTCGGGCGGGAGGGGCAAGGCAGAGGGATTCAGGGAGAGGGTTCCAGAGCTTCGGGGTGTAGTGGTTGAAGGTACAGCAAACAATGGTGGAGTGGAGGGGACGAGGGACGAACAGGAGCCGAGTGGAGGGAGTAAGCAGATTGGATAGGTAGGGAGGTGCGAGAGTATGAAGGGATTTGAAATCGATCTGCCAGTGGAGCCTGGCAAGGACTGGTGTGATAGGGTTACGGAGTTTTGTGCAAGTGAGAATCCGGGTGGCGAGTTCTGAATTATATTTTGTGTACAGTGGAGCTGGGGAGACCAGCGAGGAGGGCATTGGAATAGTCCAGCCAGGAAGTGACGAAGGCATGGATGAATTTTCAGCTACTTTTGTTGTGAGGTACGGACAGAGGATGTGAAAGCAATCGCCTGGAACACTGTACTAATTACTGCAAAGAGGGCAATAAGAGTAAATGTAATCTTTGCATTTGACATAGCACCTTACCATGTCATGAAACCAACTCAAAACTCCTCATAGGATCATTTGTACTGTGAAGTGTTAGCCACTGCGCATTAAGAAGGTCAATGTGGCAGCCAATTTTTACATAGTGACATCCCACCAGCAGCAATGAAGTGAATGACCAATTTAATGTGGATTGTTTGCTACACTGGAAGAAACTCTCTACCCTTTTTGACTAGTGCATTGGGATCTTTAACTTCCATCCCAACAGGCAGGTGAGATCTCAGTTTAACATCTCATCCAAAACGACAACATCTCAGACAATACAGCACCCCTCCTCGCACTGCACTGAAATGTCAACCAAAACTATGATCTCAAAGTCTTGATGTAGGGTTGAACCCACAACAACTACTTGCATTAATGTAGTGCCCTTTGCACTCTTCTCAACAAACACAACCTTCTGACTCTGAGGCATGAGAGATACCAACTGGGCCAGGGTGTCAATTCATGTCAACAACTAGAACAGCAGTGGTCAGTGAATCAGTCTGAATCATCTGTTCCAAAATCATATCTGGGATCTATCTGCCCCACACATCTCTGAAGAGTACTCGACCCACGACCAATAGCCGAGGAATTCCGTCTAACTGAAAGTTAGCACTAGACAAATGTCCATCAAAATTAGTTAATGCTTTTTATAGTCTAAATGAGTTCTTGAAACTTGGGAGGATTCTTCCCTCTGGATTTGTATAGAGGTACATAAAAGTAGTTTATGTACCTCTGCGCGCATACGCACACTTCAATAAAACACACACAAATCTTCCCGATAGTACTTAAAACGAAGTCGCTTGCCAAGCGTTCCAGAAAAGGTCAGACATAATCCAATAGAACATTGTTCGAGTTGGCCCCTGTTCCAGTACAAAACCCAGCCAAAGCAAGGATTCAAGTCAGTGAAAGTCAAAGCTGCTTGGGTGTTATTAAAAGAATGATATAAAAAAAACGTTGAGATTAAAAACATGCAAATACTTGGAAATCAAAGTATAAAATAACACTCTGGAAAGGTACGGAGGCTTGATTAGTGCTGAGATAGGAAACATTGTGTGAACATTCATCAGAACCCCTTTGATTCTGACTCAAATAAATATAGGATTTTATCACCAAAATAGATGAGCTGGGGTTGTCTGAAACAGCCCAAGGGGTAAAAAATAAATATGACCGCACACAGAGAAGAATAACAGAGCTGATGTTCCCATCTTCAAAACAGCTACTTCAACTTCTTGATTCACATGGTAACCTGGGCTTATAGTCGTAAAGATGTATACTATGATTTTTTTAAAATCATCTCAACAAACCAGGTGAACAAAATACAACTTGAAGTTGCCTCCAATTGGCTTGCAAAACTAAATCCTAGCAGTTCAAATCCTATTATCTATCTCCATTAAGAGAATCTTATCTGAATAGCGACACACCTTGCCTTTATCCAAGTGAATAGATGAGTATCCAACTCTGTAGCATGGAGAACAGTCGGGTACATGCACATATAAACGTGACATCCGTATAAATCCAGCTTCCTGATTTTCCTACAAATTGGAATGGAATTTCAGAAATCTAACCAGTTGCCCTAGTTTCGAATCATAGAGTAACAGAATACAGGGGTGTTCTTGTTACACAAATAAACAGGAAGTCCAAAACCATTTTTTAGGAATCCAAAACAACTTCCATCAATATTTTTTAAAGAATACACAAGATTTCTTTCTGACTCTGTTCCAAGAGACTCTGAGGAATGGAAATATTGCTCCATAACATCGCCCAACTCCGCCACTACCTCACCCCTCAGGCCGTTGAAACTCTTGTTCATGCCTTCATCACCTCCAGGTTCGACTATGCAAACGCCCTGCTTGTCGGCCTTCCCAACTCCTCTCCACAGGCTGTAGATAATCCACAACTCTGCAGCCCGTGTCCTCTCCCACACCAAACTCTGTGACCCCATCTCCCCCATTCTCGCTCGACTCCACTGGCTCCCTATCCTTCAGAGGATCCAGTTCAAGATCCTGGTCCGCACATCCATGGCCTCATCCCATCCTACCTCTGCGACCTCCTAACCCCCTACCAACCCGCCCGCTCCCTCCGCTCAGCCGGCTCCGGCCTGCTCCACTTCCCCCGACCCTCCCTCCCCACCATTGGTGGGAGAGCCTTCAGCCACTCTGGTCCCAACCTCGATCCCCCAGTCACTCCGCCTCGCCCTCTCCTTAGCCTCCTTCAAGTCCTGCCTCAAGACCCTCCTCTTCGACCATGCCATCGGTCACCCCCCTTTCCCCACCCAACCCCAGCTCGGGTCTGAAATGCTGTACACTGTCCAGCGCCTTGGGACGTCCTCCCGACATGAAAGGCGCTAACAAGTGTAATCTTGTTGTTGTTGAAGTGAAGAATTCTCTGCATCCATTTTATTTCACTCTAACTGTGACATTTATTTTTAATAAGCCAGGTTAGTGACTGGGTCGACGTTTTTGTGTTAGATCCTTTTTCATATTTAAAACTTCCTTCAGGCTACAAGTTGCTCACTTCATCCTCACCATTAAATAAAATATCAAACAAACTGATGCTGGACCCAAGCGAGGGCGACAGAAAACAGCAGCCACAAATCACACCATCAACATCCACTTCCAACAATCAAATTGGGATTTGCCTCATGGAGGCAGGCCAGAGTTACCTGTCCACTTTTGGGGATGATAGCCAGATGCAATAGATGTAGATAGGGAGAAAATCTCACTGGAGTTAAAAATAAAGCTTCAAACCAAAAAAACAGTAACTGATCTTATTTCTCTTCCTGTGCATTTTCATTTCCTCCACTGACTGCTCAATTGCATCAATCCTGCCTTGTCTCCACCCAGCTGACAGCTCATATCCTACTGACTGGCCAACACTTAACTAAATTGAGTGATCAGTATCAAATTGTCACCTACTCTTAAAGCAGCAGCTTTAGATTAAAAGAACCAAATTGATTTGCACATATGGCAAATCTTCACAACTAGTTTATATACCCAAACAGTAAAGATTATGGTCACCTCCCTCACTATTAACACACTATAATAATCCTTGCATTTGATATAGCGCCTTATCACATCTTCTTGACGTCTCAAAGCGCTTCACAGAATAGACTGCAAAGTGAATTGACTGTATATTTGTGGGCGAAACGAGAAGATAATTAACATAGACTACTTTTTAAAAAAACAATTTAAATTTGTTTCAATTACTGGCCTTAATTATTGATTCAAAGTATTTTGAAATTGTATATCTGTAGTTGTACTTAGCTTGAGAGTTGCTAAAACTATACATCAAATAGATCCTAATTTGAGAGGGTAATAAGAGTACTAATCTAAGAAATATTACAGTCCATGAAAGGTGTGCTGCAATGTTTGTTTTGTGCATGTAAGCACTTTTATTACAAATTCAATTTGCTTTAGCAGGTCACTGAGAGAATGCCAGTTTTCTCCCCCAATATTTTTACAGTGGTAATAAGAATAGGCAATGCATTTTTTTTCCAGTCTCTAAGACAGTGAAAGCATTATACTCTATTCTAAAACCTCCCTAGCTTCTCTTACAGAAAGCAGAAGCTAATAAAAAAAAGTAATGATTAAACTGGAAAGTTACTACACAGTAAGCTTCCGTGCTAAACTATTCAGTCCTTCTGATAATTTGTTGCATCTATTACCACTATGAGGTGAGCAATTTATTATCTAGACTTTTGTTTTATGAAGTGCAATCCACGCCAAATTGTTTACAGTAATTTAAGGCATAATAAAACTGCCTTTAAATGCTGAACAAATTAAAAATTTACTTTATGAAAGGATCACTGTTGCATTACAGTATAACATAAATAATGGATACCAATAATAATAATCCTTGCATTTGATATAGCGCTTTTCACATCTTCTAGACGTCTCAAAACGCTTCACAGAACAGACTATAAAGTGAATTGACTGTATATTTGTGGGCGAAATGCAGCAGCCAATTGCACACAGCAGTGTCCCACAAACAGTCGTGGATTGAAATGACCAATTTATTATTGTTTTTTTTGAGGGATTAATCGTCACCACTGCAAGAAGTTCCTTTTCCACAGTAGCAAGATAACACCAGGATAAAATCGTTCCTGCTACTCCTTCAATATTTATGCTACGAGATGGATCTCTGTTATAATATACTTCATTCTCAAACACATTCCTCACCGGTCTCCTTAGCTCCACTATCCGAGATCCATTGATCCAAAATTCTGCCACCCACATCCTCACGTACACCAAACTCCATCAGATTCTATTGTTTCCCAATGGAATTACTTCAAGGTCCTCATTCTCACCTATAAATCCCTTCAACCCCTCGCACCTCGCTATCTCTGATTTTATGCTCCCCTAGTCCTCTGCTTGCACCCTCCTTTCAGCAAAATCAGCTGTAAGGCCCTGCCCCTTCTGCGCCACGTCATTAGTTGAGCTGTCGGCTTCTATGCTCTCAACTTTTTGGAACTCCCGCCCTCTATCCCTCTATCTTTATTCTATCTTAAATTCCACCTAAAAACCTACCTCTTTGATGATGTCTGCAGTCTCCTCCCTTGCTCAGCATCGGACAATGTCTATGTGAAACGCTCCTGAGACATTATTCTAAGTGAAGGACATTATTTAAATGTACTGTTGTTATAACATGGATTCACTTATAGCGACTGGGGTGTGGATTCTTGACATTCGCTGACCAAAAAATCCAAAATGCCCATAGAAAGTCAATCAGTTGTCTCACTTAAACACCAGCTTGCTACTTTTACACTGAAAAACGGCCAATGCCTCGGTCATCAGATCGCCGATATAGGCCAGTAAGGGGGAAGCCAGTCGGCTTTCTGTGCACAAGCACAGTGAATGCAGAAGTTCCCGTCGATCAATTGTGCCCTGTTAGAATTTGTGGGATTTTATGCTTCTGTTTACATGTTATCACAAGGCTCTACTGTATAGTTCAAAGTCCACTACACTGCAAACTGATCATTACACTCAAACAATACTATTCCTTTCATCTTTATCAATTCCGGTCATTTATAAGAAATTGTACCACTGCTACAAATTTTACTTGAATCACATGCAAATGTTAATTGATTAATATCTCATAATTGAACTACAATCACAGTGTCACCAATCACAAGGTATTGCTCAGCATTTGGAATTATTTACAAAAGGTTACAAAAGGTTCAATTTTAAATGATTGAATACTAATATGATTTTTAATAAAGAGCTTTGAAAAGCCAAGGGACAAGATTTTAATTCTGCTTAATAACCGGTGCTGAACACCTCATACTGAAAGGCCAATTCCTTAAATGTTATTGACCTAAAAAATTATCTTGTTTGAGTAAAACCAGTAACAAGGACGGCAAAATTACATCTGTACAGCGTCTTTCACTTTGGGAGGACGTCCCAAGGCACTGGACAGTTAATGTTTCGGACCCGAGCTGGTCCCGAGCTCTGCGAAACTCATCCCTCAGTCCGAGCTAGAAGTTGGGATCGGGAAGGGTGGAGGGCAAGGAGGGAAGCAGGGTGATCGAAAGCACGGTCGAAGAGGAGGGTCTTGAGATGGGTCTGGAAGGTGGCAAGGGAGGCGGCGAGGTGTAGGGACTGTAGGATGGAGTTCCAGAGGGTGGGGCAGAGTGGCAGAAGGCCCACCCGCCAATAGTGGGGCAAGTGAGGCAGGGGACATGAAGCAGGCTGGAGCCCGCTGAGCAGAGGGAGCGAGCAGGATGGTAGGGGGTTAGGAGGCTGCAGAGGTAGAGGGGAGCAAGACCGTGGAGGGCTTTGAAGATGAGGACCAGGATCTTGAACTGTGTGATGGGAAGCCAGTGGAGTTGGGCAAGGATGGGGGTGATAGGGTCACGGAGCCTAGTGTGGGAGAGGACGTGGGCTGCAGAGTTCTGGATGATCTGCAGCCTGGGGAGGAAGGAGTTGGGGAAGCCGACAAGCATTGAGTTTGCATAGTCGAGCCTTGATGTAATGAAAGCATGTATGAAAGTATCGGCGGCCTGTGGTGTGAGACAGTTGCAGAGCCGGGCGATGTTGTGGAGGTGGATGAAGGCAGAGTGGATCATGGTGCAGATGTGGGGTAGAAAGGATAGTTGAGCGTCAAACAAGACCCCAAGGTTCCTGACTGGCTTAGCAAGGTGGAGTGTGCAACCATGGATGGTGATGCTGTCAGCGCCTGATGTGAGGAGACACTGATTGGAGCAAATCAGAATAGCATCGGTCTTGTTGACGCTCAATTGAAGAAAATTAGCTCTCATCCAGGACTCGATGTCTAACAGACATTCTAAAATGCTAAGGGAAAGACGCATGTGGCAAGCCCTGTAGCTCTCCTGTTCCCAAGTTGCATCCTGCCTGCCGCCACCCATGTCAATCTCTGCACAAAAAAACCCAGAACATGTTAAAAACTTTAGACAATTAGATGGCAGTAATTACAGATTTAACAAGCTGCTTCCCTTGTGCACAGCACAATTACCATTTCCAGAAAGGCACGTAAACCTATTTAAAAAGTCCAGCCATTTGGTCATAAAGCACATAAAATGCCACTGAGCATATAAAATATAGTTAAAAATGTCAATAAACAATGAAAGGTAATATGTAGTTACACAATAACAAAAAGTATTTTGAGCGAGTGTAAAAAGCTAAAAGCTCCTGTCTTGAAATATAATGCTAAATTCAGTTGTTAGACAAGTTGGCACATACCAACATTACCAAGATGAATAGATAAAAAAATGGCACAAGGAGGAACGTTAGTGCTCCCATAATTAATATAGACATCGGGTACATTTCAGATTTAATCACCTTGCACCTTCAGAGCAGAAGGGAATCTTTCCATTCCAGAGATAGTCTTTGCTCAGTGTACAGTAAACTAATAACTTGACCCTGGCTTAACTTGTCACTACCACTTAAGTCATTAAGCTGTCAATATTCTGGCTCCATTTATTTATGTATTTTTTATATACGCCTAACTCGCCGCTCCAGGTAACTGGTCACTGAGCCCTATTCCCTCAGAGTGACAAGTTATCAGTTTACTGCAGTATGAAAGTTCTGTGAAAACTCCTTCTTTAGTCCACACCAGAGATTATTTTTTTAAAAAAGTGAACATTTCAAGATGTCGTAGCTGCTTTTAAATCACAGAACAGCCTCAAGCAGTGGTTCTCTAACATTACCAGAGGATCCCAGTTTACAATGAGGGGATGAATGCCATAGTGCTAAAAACACAATAGATGTACTGTTTTCCGAGGCTTGTTTCAAACAATGCATTGAATCGTGGGAACTGAAGTCTTGATCCATCGGCGCACAAGCGCTTACCGGCTGCATTGAACTATGCATGCGCAGTCTTCCATTTGAAACAAGCACTGAAAACAAGGTCTTGACTCATCACCATAATTGCATTTACAAGCTGTTTTGATGAAGTACAGAATGCGCAGTACAGTGACTCAGTTGAAACAAGCGTGGATGGAAAACAAAGGTTCTTGTTTACTGTTATGTGTTTACTGTTATGTCTTATAAAATCCAATTTATACAAGTTTGTCTGTAACTGATACTTTGCCCAAGTCAATAAATGTTATGGTCCCAGCTGATACAATTTATACAAGTTTTACTACAATTCACATAATCCATACAGATGGGTAAAGGAAAAACAAATGGATTTAAATGTAATAAAATGCAACATAACATTAATTAGCACAAAAAATAGCAAAGCATAGATATACAATGGAAATATTACAAAGGGTGGTAAATTTATGGTGTTGATTTATGATTTACTGAAAGATTTCAGTCAATGCGAGACTGTAAGCATGTGTGCTTCAATGCAGCCAATAAATAATGTAAATCACAAGGGAAATCAGGGTACATGATTAATTACATTATCATAGCAAAAAAAGATAAGAAATCAAGTTGTATTTGAATACTGCATACAATCTTACCACCCTACCTTAATGTAGGGAAATCAAAGGGCAATGATGTGTTGCCGAGGGCTCAGAAAATAGCAAACTTTATGCATTCAAACTCAAATGTATTCAAATGCAGAGCTGTAAAGCACTGCTTCCATTCTTCAAAAATAAGAAGCATTAGTTTCCAGTTAAGACTTTAGTTAAAATTTTATCAACAGGATTGAAATATTTAAAATCCTACATGTGATTATATAGGAGACAAATTTCAGAATAGCGATAATGGACAGTATCCCTCCATTCCAACCAACCATTGAAAGGTTCTGTCCCACTCAAACAGCATGAGTCATATTGCTGCATGTGAATGATAAACAATGAAAAACATAGGTCTGGAGATATGACCTGTCAAAGATGCATTTTCATTCTAGGTTTCTTATGTTATGAATACTGACATTTGATTTCAAAAATCTCAAAAATTGAGATTGAAAGAATAAATTGAAACAATATTTTTCAAGGAAAGATTTCAAAAAACAGTCCAACTTAGAACCTAGTCACCCAAATTGGTTCTCCCTCAATAATAATAAATCTTGCATTTGATATAGCACCTTTCATGCCAGGACGACATCGCAAAGTGCTTCAAGATTTTACTATGATGGTGGTGACTATTTTGCAGACTGAATTCAGCATATACAGAAGGCATTTTCATGCAACTTCAGAAGCAGAAAATTACTTTATTGCAAAGCTAATCCTACTTCTCTTCAATGGCTCTAGTGTTTTATCACCTGGAAAAGCTGACAATCACAGCAGCAGAAGGTGGGTTTCATTTAAAGTTTAACCATACACAATGTTATAGTGCAAAGTTGTGCCAAACAATGTAAAAAGCTACAGCTGTCGTACAGTATAATTCAAAATATATTGAATGTGGAAATCAATTAAGAGCAAACTGCTATTTTATTTGCCTCCTCAAATTATTTCTGGTAAAGTGGAAGAATTGATTGCATGCTGTAGCAATAGTATTCAGAATAAATTACAAGTTTGTGTGTGTGTGGGTAGGTGAGTGTGTGTGTGTCTGCGGGGGGATTGGGGGAAAAAAAATTCCATAGTCAGTAATTCTGTGCGCAATAACACTCAACAATACTAGTTTCACAGTGTTTTCCATCTCCTTTCAGAATGAGATCCTTCCACAACTGGATGTGTGCCAGGCTTTCCATTTCAATGGTGGACAGAAAATATATGCTCAAGGGGGGGTCACTGTAATATGCATAAAAATACCTTACAAATTTCATCAGATTTCCAGTCAACCTTATCATTTATGACCACACTCCAAACTTCCTGTCATGTTACTCCATTCAGTAATCTCATATTACTC